ACAGTGCTTCTGAAGCAGTGTGTTGATTTTTTTGACACACGCACCGGAGCTTCAGCTTCAAGCGGGCCATCACTACTGAAAACTACTTTCGCTCATTCGTCCTTGTCGTTGTAGGATGTCTTTGAGTTCAGTGCTCTAGCTATAGTTCAGTTTTTGGAGAAAGGACCCTTTGACGTCTCTCGAGCAGTTTCCGTAGTGTAGTGGTTATCACGTTCGCCTCACACGCGAAAGGTCCCCGGTTCGAAACCGGGCGGAAACACATTTATATTACATTTCAGTATATCCATTGTTATACCAATACATACAAAAGTCTTATGTGAAAATGTCCCCAAAATTTCATTCTGTTCATCTGGGGACGTAGCGTATCATTTGTAGACACGTTTCCTCACTCATCCAAGTGACTTCTTCATTCTTATCTTTCCCCGATCTTATAAACAGTACTTTTGCATAATGACTGACCACTGATCAATGGTCATGAGAATTTGCATATTAATGATCAAGGCACTGACCTCCCAGCCCATTGTTCCTTCAGTGGTGCTAGTTTCACTCATTATGCAAATATACTGTTTATAAGATTTTGGAAACCTGCTGAGACTGAAGAAATAACGTTGATGAGTGACGAAACGTATCTCCCACTGAAAACGCTACGTCCAGATTAACAGAATCAACTTTTGGGGATTTACTTACCTGGACCACTGAGCATGCATCAAGATGTGACGTGGAAGTACTATGAGTTACGTAATCACAATCAAAATATGTACTGTATATGTGTTATATACTACATATGTGACAGTCACTCCACAGAAAAAACAGTTTCTGCTGAATTTTCGTCAGCAGAAACTGGACACAATAATAATGAACATCAGCTGAACCTGCAAACACATGAATGCAGCGATATAATTTTATTTAAATTATGCCAATTTCAGTGTAATGTGTTTGTGTTCAGAGGGGATTCAGTCAAACTTAACTGCAGCTTACCGTGCCAGTTTATCAGACGGTCTGTGCCACTCAAACTGTGTGCGTTGTTTCTTCAGAGATGCACTTCATAACTGTAAAATATCGCACACAGCGACTCTCGCACTTCTGAGTCTTCTAATGGTCAGGGATGAAAGCCATCACGACATGGTTTCCGTAGTGTAGTGGTTATCACGTTCGCCTCACACGCGAAAGGTCCCCGGTTCGAAACCGGGCGGAAACAGTTTTGGTCCGGGGTGAAAGAAATGTCTTGTCGATGGGCATGTGCAAAGGTCACTCAGGTTAATTAAAAGGAGCAACTTAACAAGGAAGATTTACTCAGAAGAAAAGCTGACCACAGAAACTGGGATCCACAGTTAAAGCCGGATAGAGATTGATTACACAAAAAAAATTTTCATTTTCATCGCTGACACTATTACCCAATCAAATCACTTAACGCCAACGGCCCCTCCCCTACCTTCGCTCTGCTCTCATGCAGCTTGTTGAAGAAGTTTAGAGCCATGACAGAAAAAAAAAACTGAAAATAAATGCAGAATAAATGTGTGAATTTAACCGAAATGTTAGCTGCTAGGGATGCAGTGGCTCCATGGAGAAGTGCAGGAGGATGGACAGCAGTCCCAAGAAGACAGCGAGGACAAGACAGCGCGAGGTCACCTTAACAAGGTAAGAAAATAGATGGATTCAAGTACAATGAGTGAGTCACCATTAACAGCGTTAATTGTAGCTTTTAATTGTCACGTGCTGCACTGCTGCAGTGCATAAGCAGTGTTGGTCAAGTTACTTGAAAAAAGTAATCAGTAACTAATTACTTATTACTTCCCCAAAAAAGTAATCCCGTTACTTTACTGATTACTTATTTTCAAAAGTAATTAATTACTTAGTTACTTTTTATGAACACAATTTACAACCTGAAGAGGTGATAAAGCGATAGATCTTTCAGCCCAATTCTACTTTTTCTACATAATCCATCATACAAAATGTAATCAAATGGAAAATTCCCTTTTTAAAACTTATTTTATTAGTTTTAATCTTTTAACTTTATGCATAAGCAAAAATTTAATTAAATTTTATATGCAACATTCTCTGACTGGAAGAAATTTGTTTAATATTTAAACCTATTTTCTGCACATTCCAGCACATAAAATAATGTGTTTACACTCACTCTTTCAAATAGATGCAAGTAAAACACAGCAGAAAATAAATAAAGTCAAAGACTCAGCGGTCCTTTTGCTCTATTTTCACCTGTATAGCAGGACTGCGGTAGGCAGAGGTTTACCCTGGTGCAGGTTGAAGAATCCGCGAGTTTCTCTGTGAGTTTCCCATTAAGTCGTTGCGCACTCGGTGCTTGCTTGGAAGTTTAGGGGGTTTTTTCGCTGTAAAAAGAAGTTTTCTTCCCACGCACAACAGACGCTAATGTTTTTGTCACTTTTTATGGAATCAAACTCAAAGTAAGGTCAGTACTTCCACGCTTTAAACGCTGCACGCTCATACTCTCTCCCGCACTCGATATGTGATCCATTGTTGATCTGCACACAGCTGTTGTCACGAACGTCGCACTCGCTTACGTCACTGTCATGAGACATTCTCAAAAAATCGCAGTTTTAGTAACGCAGTAACGCAGCGTTCCTACGGGAAAGTAACGGTAATCTAATTACCGTTTTTGCAATAGTAATCCCTTACTTTACTCGTTACTTGAAAAAAGTAATGGGATTACAGTAACAACGCGTTACTGCCCATCTCTGTGCATAAGCAATCATGATGGGCCACCTGGACCAAAAATGCCAGGGCCAATCTTGTGTCCAGGTCCAGCCCTGCCCTAGAATTTACCTGATTGATGTTTAACCCTTTAAGACCTACCATAGAATCAACTCCGCCAGAGCTTATATTATATTTTTACATGCTGTAGTACCATTTTTGGGAGCATTTCAAGTTGCAGTTCTACCGGGATTTAAAAATAGTTACGCAAAACGGAGCATGCCCGCTCCGACTAGCTTTAAAGGGTTAAACAGCTTTCCCAGCAGGCTGCAGTAGTTTAATATAAAAGCACACCGACTTGTCTCTGTTCAGATGTGGATATCACACAGCACACCTCTGACTGTCATCTTACTGAAGAGCAGAAATGGCATTAAATGGGAAAACTGCAGTAGTGACCGGAGCAGCGCTGGGGATAGGAAAAGCAATAACTGAGATACTTCTGCAAAATGGTGCCAAGGTAAAGTTGGACGCCTGTATATCTTTGTAAAGGGGAAAAAAGAAGCTAGAAATGATTTTACATAAGTGCTAACCAGTTTTCTGTTTAGCATTTTATCCCGTTAAAGATTATATCAAAGTTTCACATATCTTTTGTGGTTATCTACATTGTTTTGTTTTCTTTTTGTGGCACAGAAATTAACAAAACTACTTAAAATGTAATATCCAAGTTGAACAGTATTTGACTGCACTCCTTAGGATTATTTTTATTTTGAAACTTCAAAGAAAATTATTAATACAGTTTGCATAGTCTCTGAAACTGAACATATGCTATAAAAAAAAAAGGCCAAATGTTTGTTTTTCACTGAGTTATTTTTCAGGACTCGGTGCTTCGGTCAATCATTAAACACTGGACCAATGTACTGGAACCATCTGAACCCCAAGCTGCAGTGGGTCAGGGTGGAAATTTTAAATGCTGAATGAACATTAACTATTAAAAAATTGATCTGTAAACTATAAACAATTCCAAATGTAGCAAGCCACAGGTGTTTATCTCTGCTCGCCTTCACCTGTTCAGGTAACCCTTTTGGATATAAATGAAACTGCAGGGAAGACTTTAGAGGAAGCCCTCAACAAACAGTATGGAGAAAAGAGATCTCTGTTCTTCAAGTGCAATGTTCAGTCTGAGGAGCAGATCAAAGGTAAAGTATACACAAAGAAAACAGTGGTGATTTTTTTTTTGGAAACATCACTGTGTTTAACAACATAACTATTAGAGAAACACATTACAGTCATGATACAAAGAAATTACAGCCCAAAATTATTTGTACATCTTTGAGCCTTGGCTGTCCATGACTTCGTCATTGGGTCATCACTGTTCCTTTTTTGGACCCCTTTTAATAGACACTGCAAACTGTGAACACCGCACAAGAGCTGCAGTTCTTGGGGGGGTATCATTTCCTACAAACAGCTTGACAGCTAGGTCAATTGATGGGTTTTTTAAGTAGGTGTTTCATTACTTTCAGCTTGAAGGCCTGTGATAAGTAGCCCATTAATGGAGATATAAAAACAGAAAACTGTTCATTTCTACTTTCCAGTTGCTTTTCAGAGCACAGTAGACACATTCGGAGGGATAGACATTGTATGCAACAATGCCGGCATCTTGAATGAGAAGCAGTGGGAGAAAACGGTCTCCGTCAATGTGGTAAGGATTGAGTTTCACTTTTACATCATATAAAAAGAAATGTTCATAGTGGACCACAGAGACTTGTGCATATCTGTCTTGCTGTCTAGGTGGGTCTAATCAGGGTCAGCTATGTGGCTTTAGAGTATATGAACAAGTTGAATGGAGGAAAAGGAGGGACCATCATTAACGTAGCATCTGTGGCAGGTAACACCACATGGCAGGTCTTCATTAAGCAGATGGAAATGACAGGGGACATTTTATTTCCTCTCTGAGTTTTAAAACTATTATCTTCTAAATATGGGACACAATCCTCCAAACAACAGAAAGGTCACCTGCTGTTTGTGGGCTGTTCCCTCCTGTATCCTGCAGGCCTCACTCCAGTACCAAGTTGTCCCGTCTATACAGCCACCAAGCATGCCGTGATCGGCTTTACTCGAGCCATGGCTGTAAGGATATGATAAGTTATAATGATTAAACAAAGTAATTCATAGAAACTTGACTTTATTTTGGTTTTGTATTTTAAGATGCGCCTCAGTCGTATGCGTTTCTTTTACTAGGCTGCCTCGTCCGCCTCAGGCTACGGTTTATGCTTCAGTGCAGTTTGCCCAAGCGGTGTCAAAACTGACCTCTTTGCCTCCATCATGGACAATTTGGGACAATTCTCCCACCTGCTTTATTCTACTCAAAATCCTGCAGTCGAAAGGGCAATGAAGTAAGTGACTTTTTATTGTGTTAATTATTTTTTTCATGCAGCATTTTTTCCCTAAAGTTTCAATTCCGTATGGACTGTATGGCTACTGCTTTCCCCCTCCTCTGAATGTCTTCCAACATCTGTCCTCAGCACTCTTCATCCATGTATCAATTACTTAAATCCCATCTGAGAGAAGGAGGCTTTTTAACATCTGACATATAGTCCCTTGGAAAAAGTACTTTTCCTGATTTCTTTTTTGCATCTTTGTCACACTTGTTGTTTCAGATCATTGAACTAATTTAAATGTTAGAAACTGACAACACAAGTAAATGTAAAATGTCTGTTTTTAAAAGATTTCTTTTTTATTAAGGGGAAAAAAGCTATCCAGACGTGCATGAAATTGGATGACTTGCTGTAGCTGATGGATCCATGAAGTCTGCTCTTAGAAAATCTTTAAATGTCATCAGTTCATGGCTTTAAGCTAAAGAACTCTTGATTATGCATATGATTCAAACCACAACTGAAAGTTCACCTCTGTTTGGTTCAAAAAAATAAAAATTAAGGTTTTGGAGGGGCAGAGTCAAAGTCCAGTCTTAAATCAGATAAAGATGCTTATTGTCATTGTGTTTAGAGGGCAATTACTTTAGGTTGGGATAGCTTTTTTCGCCTTGATAAATGATTCATTTAAAAATTGTATTTTAAATATACTTGAGTTATCTTTGTCTAATATTTAAATTTGATGATCTGAAACATGTAAAGAAGAAATCAGGAAAGGAGCACATACTTTTTACTGCAGTGCGTAAAAACAGCCAGTGGGTGTCATGGCAAAGAAGGAGGTTATAACTCTTATGTTTTTCATTCAATTCAAAGGCGCAATGATGATTAATTTGGCTCAAACTATTCTTCTTCTTGCGTCTTCTGTTCAAGTATGAAACAGGAAACACTAAAGGAGTCAAGAAACTGAGACGCGACAAAAGAGGATCGATCGGTTAAAATTTGGGAATCTGTTTACATCCTTTTTCTGTTAAATCACTGTGTATATATACACTTTTCATTTCAGTCCATCGGAGGTTGCTGAATGTGTCTTTGAACTAGTCACAGGCGAGGCGAAGAATGGAGAGATCCTCATGAAGAAACAAAGCATGAAGAAATACATGACCTTTCCCACACTTATCTAGTGGCTCCTGGTAAAGGCAGTGAACAACCCGAGTAATGTCTGAACCTAAAACTATTAGAGGAAAATGCTGCAGTTCACAGTATTGTTTGTTTTGTTGTGTTTGTGAAAGATAAATCAGTAAATCCTCACAAGTGATTAGGAGAAAGAAGCAAACAATAAATGAGTGAAAGCCCAGTTTCTGACTAAGAGGAGAAACGACTGTGCTTAAGACTTTTTGGATCTTTCATGATGCAGAAAATATTTCTTATAAATTTAAGAAAAATGTTAATAAGCACTTCCATACTAACTTGCACTGACGAAAGAAAAGTATCTAACATAACAACAAAAACATGGTTTGCTCTGCTTGCTATAGTGTGCCCTACACGTTTAAGGAAACAAAAAAAATCCACTATATTAATTAGAAATATGATTGTTACTGAAAAATGTTTAAAATTAGAAAATGAAATGTAAAATTCTCTGTGCTGCTTTATCGTGGGGCTAAATGTCACCTGTGATATGTTAAGAAATTTACATAACAGTTCTGTCCCACGTAACCAAATTGGTTACTTCTGTTAAACTATGGCTGACTGATCAGAAATGTGTCTTACCTGGTTTGCAGTTCTCTGTCCCAGTAAACACTAAATTGTCCAAATTACACAGCCAACTTTCACATAAAGTAGTTAAACATGTTGGAAGCTGAGAACCTATGGGACCTATCTTGACTTTAAAAGTCCTTACTTTTGATTCTAACCACTCTTCTTCTGTCCTGTCTTTCTTACATCTTTCTCCATCTCAGAGTGAAGTTATCTCACACTTGCTTGTGAAATATAGCAGCTGTACCTTTAGCTAACAGACACGCAGCACGACAAACTCCACAAAAGCTTTTGTGTGTTTACTGATAGTTGGTGAGCTGATAGAACATTTCATGTGAAATTATCTGCCATTAAATTATCTCTTAACTCATTCACTGCCATTGACGTCTATAGCC